TAGATTTGCATGGGTCCCGAAGGACAGTAGATGGCCTATGGCCCATAGCCGATGTTGATTGAGCTTTTGCAACAACCAACCGTTTCTTCAGGGCTTCACTGCGTTTCCAGTTCTTCTTTCTCGGCATCTGAAAGATGGATAGTGTACAAACATTAATGTTGGGGGTGGGGTTACATAATGGACATGAATTATATATATGCATGTAGTCAATCTTTACATAGATGTAGATTGTATACTTGTCATTGCTTTCCACAAGGGTGTGTTAGTAAAATTACAATAAAAAGGATATTTCTGGAAGAACAGTCAAAAGAACATCAAAACTTGTTATTGACATGAGGAAAGATTTCCATTGACATTTGGCATTTGGATGAAGATTCTTTTGGTATGTTCATAGTTCCTTACACTGACAGATACATCATCATATGTAAATCTTTAGTAGAAAAACTTGAATATCTTTCATGAATGCACCTCATACAAAATGTTAGTGTGGCAAGTGCAGCCATTTAAAAAAATAATTAAATTATACTGTATAATTATCTTTGAATATATTGGATTATCATTAACTACAGAATAAAACAGAGAAATTATTAATAAACATGTATCAACAACAAGTATTCTGTTGATACAATCTATACTAGTAGTACATGTATAATAGAAATTTTACATCCCAAATCCCACCAACATATTATGAAACCCAAGTGTTCTCCCCAGAATGTAAACAGTGTGGCGGTCCCGACATTGGTCAGACATCTCCACAGTGATTAGCAAGACAGCCACAGTGCTTTTTTCATTGTTCAGCTGGTGCACTGTATTAGAAAATAAAGTTTCATTGATATCTGCTGCAGAATTTCTAAGAAATTGTTAGAGACGCCATAGACAAAAACTGGAAATAAGAATTAATAGTCCGCCTTTTAAGCTGAGCCTGAAACAGGGACTAAAAATTCAAAATAAACACAATCAACAATGCTGACTACACATGTTGAAAACAAATAGAATACGTTGCCACAACAAGTCCCACTCTGCTACTTTTACTCATGCAAACACATGCTATTTGCATATATTGAATATGTTGGCAAGAAAAACACTGAAAGGGACAAATTTAAACCCTGTTTGTATTAACACAGTGAATAAATGTTTATCATATCATCAAATTATGTTATGTATACATTCAATGTTGTGTATACATGAAGCGGACTGCAACAGTTAGGTGCCTAAGATAAAACACATGTGACAGTACTATTATGCTCGTCTTCTATACGTTCAAGTATCCAACTTTACAAT